TTTTCTACTAGGTGAATTTTTTCTAAAAGCCCCAAATTACTCTGTTTTCAGCTTAACTAGATGAATTAATGTGTACACAATCCACAGCACAACATCAGAAATTTTGAAAGCAGTTTATTTTTACTGCAAGAAAAAGTGCAATCAACACGCTCCTTTTCCAGAAGCAATTCAGTTTTTTTACAGTCTTTAGAAAAAAATAAAATGGGGGTAGGGGGAGACACGTCAAATACAACAGCACTTGTCAAGCATGGCTGCATTGCCATTTAAATACATTGCTGCCTTCACCAGCTCTCCCCAACCGATGCGTAGACAGCCTGAAGCTGAATGCTGGCCCGTCAGAATATCTGATCAGAGAGGGCAGCTTATTGGCTGCCCTCTCTGATCGTACGAAGATTTTCCGGCGGGCCCCTTCAACTGGAAGAGGGATGCCGGCCAAAAGCAGCACACTGTGTGAATTTTGTCCGTTTACTCAAAAAGCAGCCGAAATTTGCACAGTGCATGGGCACCTTCAGGAATCCCTGTTGGTGGTTTTGGGCAACAATGACCAAACCTTACTTTAACATGCATGACATAAGCGGACATACAGATTTACACTCGGTACACCAATTTTCATTGCAATTAACCCCCCCCATTAAAATTCTCTAGCCACATTGTGTGTATATATATATATATATATAAAAAATCTGTGAAGTTTTTATGATTGTCCATGTCTTCCTCCAAGGAAGATTCACTATTTGTCCAAGTGACCTTTATCACCAGGACAGAAAGTAGATTTTATAGTTGTCACCAGACCAAGGTAGTTGAATGTTCTGGTTACAGATGTCCAAGAGTAGATTACCTTTACCTTCCATTAAGTTTCTAGAATGGGACGCAGCAAAAATAAAGCCATTCCCTACTATACCCAAAACTACAGAAAGAAAGACCATAGATGCACTTCAATGGCTTACACAGGCTTTAAGGTCCAAGCACATGAGCACCCTTTAATAGAAACGACTTCACTAAAAGGTTCAACCCCTGGATTTAATGAGGGTCTACTGTACCCAGTGGATGCACAACACCCTACATTCACCAATATATGAAACATCAGGCCTTGTCACAGGAGACAGTACAATGGCCTTGTGCAAGAGTCCCAAGTCACTGGTCAGATTGTAGATGCACAGCATCCATGTAATAATTAAGTATTGGTAGAAGTAGACAAACTTTAAAAGAATAAGCCCCCCCCAACTTTTTTCACATTCGGCAATCTCATTCATTGAGGGCTCAATTACTAAAGTCACAACCCAAGAAGCAACACCTACTAATTTCCCTTCATTCTAGTAAAGCAGTCCAAGAATGGCAAACAATAAAAAAATTAAACAAACTCCACACACAAACCACCCATCTCTCTAAAACCTTAAAATGCACCAGTTTGCTTTAAAGCAGAACAGATTTCAATACTTAACTTGTCTCATTAGAAACATTTTACATTCAGAATTTTTTTTAAATTAAAGCTTTAGTGGTTTCTTAGGATTATGCCCTTTGGCCAGTCAACATTCCAAGGGGTCTCTTGGCTTAAAATGTAAACAGTCACTCTGATTGGATGATGCCCCACAACAGAGAGTTGGTGTCCAATTCAGACTTCAGCTAAGTGTGTTCCAAGCCACTTACAAATCTGAGACATTCAGGATAGTACTTTTGGAGAAAACTGTTCAAATATTGAGCAAGGCAAGAAGTAAAAGAATGGCTTGCTGGGTAAATCATACTATTGTCTTTGAAATATGACAGCCATTCTACTGTATGTAGCATTCAGTCAACTACCCAACACTAGATGCTCCATGGGCTCAGCACTTAGCAGCTGCGTCATTAGTCACAGGTAGGTCAATATGCTGGTTCAGTGGAAGGTAGCCATTGGCAGATTGTGGGTAGCAGTTCCTGGCATCAATGTAAGAGGCTGGGGTCATTAGTATAGCATGGTCCGCTGGTACAGCATAATTGATGAATGGCGGTTGTAAGAAAGGTGATGCGGTGGTTGCAGGATGCATAAACTGAGCATTTGGTGGACAAGCCATGATGGGAAAAGCCGTAGGCATATTCATATACATATTAAGATTTTCATTGCCCAGAGAGCAGAGATTATGAGGATTGTTGCTGAGGGAGCCACGAGGTGCAGAGGCGGAGCTGGAACTGGAATGCCTTGATGTGTCAGTAGACGTTTCTGTGTCCAGGAGTCGGCTTTGTTGGGCAGGAGCACCAATCTGTGTTCCTTCCTCAGGTTTCAGACATCTGCAGCAGCATACTCCCACAAGCGAGCCCACAATAACAAAGGTCACAAACATACTGCCAACCAGCAGGAAGGGGAGGTAGATGGGCACTAAAAGAAAATAAAAAGGCATTTTTTTAAAAGCATTTGTGCAAGTGAAAAAAAAAAAAAAAAGTCAAAAACAGCTCAAAGTCCTGGTTGGGCCAATTAATAATTCCCATAGCTGGCCTCCACTTATGGCTAACACAGCCATATGAATGAGATAAGCAGCACAGGGATTTCTTGTAAAGACAGTAATGCACATTGACGATCTGTGGCACAGGGCTTGCAGTAAATATTTTAGATATAATTCTAATATTTTATATCAGAGAAAGCATCACTAAAAGGGAAAATGCCTCTGTTGCTCAAAACCCAAAGTGAATAGGTTACAGCAGATCCCCACAACTTGTTTTAACTGCATGTGTTAAACACTTCAAACAAAAAAGTGCAACAGTGCATTTACACAATTTCCATTAGGTAACATCTAGAGCAGGGTAGGCAACATCGGAACTTCAGCTGTGATGAAACTACAAATCCCATCATGCCTATGCATCTGGAAGTCATGCAATGCCCTCATAGTTCCACCACAGCTGGAGTGCAGAGGTTGCCCACTTCTGGTCTAGACCTGCAACACAAAAACTTATACCTACTATAGACAGAAGATTTACATGATCCCTCCCATAGTAACCATATAATTCTTTATTGCAGCTTGTGCAGTGGTTACTTGAGGATTACAGATGTACAGGGAAAGGACTATTACATTGTAAAAGTATACAAAGCAGTTGAATGTTTAGATTCTCAAGCATGTTGGGAAATCTCTGGAATTGGTACTACACCCATCAGTTCTAGTCTGGAACAAGCATGGATAATGTTACCAGCATCCAATCCAGTCTGTTACCAAATCCCATCAAGGGACACTAATAAAGCTCTAAAATATTCAGGCTAGGTTCACACCTGGGCGACTCCTGACCGCACGGCAATCGCGCACAAAACCACCCGGATCGTCGGGCGGTCACGGAGTCACCCACCACAGCCGATCAAGCTGTGGGTGCCATTATTTTCTAATGGCACTGCAGTTGTGCCGGGCAGATCGCATGGTTTCCCACTGCGATTGCACCCCTTGCAATTGAATACAGTCGCAGCGAAAAAAGGGTACTTGTAGCTTTTTGTTAGCGATTGCCACAGGGATGTAACCCCTTTGAAATCAATGGGGCCGCGCGGCAAGCGCTGCGTTCAGTAGCACATGATCACGTGGACCTGGGACGCACGTCGCTCAGGTCTGAACCTACCCTAAAGATTACAGTCCATTGATCATCCATGAAATCATTTATAACAACTTTTAGATGCTAGCAATCTGGTAGATTTATGACCTTAGTTAGAGATTCCAATGCTCACCACTACGTGTACTCATACCAGCTCCCATTAATAAGAATGTATTCCCATCCTCTCTGTATTTAACAACCAAGTGTTCTGAAACTTTTGGATGAAACATTGTTCCATCTATGGAAGGGTATAGCCGGCCAACCCCCTTCTTAGTTTTGGATGTTGTGAGAAAGTGTTAAAAAAAACTGGTCAGGTTTTTGCAATTATCTGGGGCTCCTTAAAAGGTGCCCATACACCTTACAATTATCTGCAGATTTTCTGTGGTCAGATGGAAAAAGTGCAACAGATTGGCCCAGGTGGAGATTACTCCATCCACACAGTTAAGTGTAGATGGAGGAATCTGTTGCACCTTTTCCATCTGACCACAGAAAATCTGCAGATAATTGTAAGGTGTATGGCCAGCTTTAAAGGAGGATTTACTCTGACATCTTAGCAGACAGAACATAAAAGGTAAAACGCTCCAAAAGCAGACAGGCATAAAATCATGAGTTAAGGGAAGGATGAAGCCCCCGATAGTTTTTATATATTAGTGTAGATTTTTCCTTACCTCCTAGTCTTGTAAAACTTTATCAGGAAATGAGGTTAAATCTCCCTAATAGAGCCCCAGAGAGCAGTACAAAACACAAAAAGGAGTTCTGCTTCTCCCCCCCCCC